ACGGTATAGCTCATGGCTTCACTGAGTTACGCAAGCCCCTTCGCCACGACAAGGCAGTGATCCATGAAGGGGATGCTTTACATACTTACATACATTCAATGCTTTACATACAATGCTTGTATTAGTACTATATTATGCTAAGTATTAATCAAATGTAATTGAATTGTTTAGGATCTGTTGGTCCTTTTGAGCTTGTTGGCAGGTGTGAAAAATGGGGGCAAGTTTTATATATTTGTTTTTTTTTAAAGCAATTCTATATCATTTCCCTGAGACATCTCAAACTGATTTACAATTAAAAATTATATTTACAGTTAAAAACAATACAGCAAAAACATACAGAAGTGTCCATCTTATTGCACAAGTCAGGCAGAACAGAACCCACATGCTTTCCTTTACAAACTGGTAAGGCAAAGGGCTACAAAGTAAATAATCTTCCAGTAAATGAATGTTCAAAATGCAATTACTATCCGAAAATGACAAAATCAGGGACAGAATTATTAGATCTTGAGGGGCTATTTTTTGATGTGCATGTGCATTTTTTTTTAAAAAAAAAAATGGAAAGATTCAAATCTTTGAACTCTCTTTTATGCAGTGAAGGGGATGAGTTTTAGAAGTGAGGCTCTCTCAGCTAGCTGGTATCCCATTTCTTCTTCTTTATGAAGGTGCCCTCCTAGTGTTCAGGTGCGCCACAGATTTATCCTGGTTGGTGGGTGATACCGTCTTGTTTGCAGCCTCTACCATTATTAATAAGGGAAAAAAGCGCCCTCAGGGTGGAACCAGCCCCTCCAACCAGGTAAAGTGTGCCTGTAGGTGAACAGTTACTGCCAAATTAGGTATCCTTGTTGCCACCCCGTCCTTCACTATAAACCATTTTCTCCCTTCCCCACCAGTTTCTCCCTTCCCCACCAGCCCTCTGGGGAATCAGAAGAGGATGGAAGGGGAAATCCCATCCCACCCCCATCCTGGGTCTGGCTAAATACAAAAAGAGAAACCCAAAACAAAAACTTTGGGAAATCAGTAGCTTAGCCAAATGAGGCAGGTGATAGAAGGCAACCAGTCAATTCCAGTATTGAAACAAAAATCAGCTTTATTAACCCTAACACAACTCTAACTCTAGCTAAATAACTTTCAACCTTGCCTGAGGTAGTCCCTTCATCCAGGACTTCAGCCAACTCCTTCACACAGGACACCCAAAACTCTTCCTGCCAAAACCTGACAGAATCCCCTTATCTTCTTTGATTGGCCCTCAGGGGTCTGGGCACATCAGGCTGGCTTTTGTCAGGTTCAGCCCAAGAATCACATGAGACAGTCCAGAAATCAGCTCAGGTTCTTTATTAGCTAACACCTAGGAGACAGAATCTCACCAGACTAACCCCAATTCCCCAATGAGAGCAACTATAACCATTAAACCCTTAGGGAGGGGCCAGTCTCTTCCTCCTTAATTTCACACAGTCCAGCTGGGGGCTAAGGAGATGCTTGGAATGTCACTCTCCCCACCCCATAACCTTGAAGCTCCATTCCAGAACCCTCCCCACTCATGTCTTCCATCGCAGCTTTTGATTTAAAGGGTCAGCTGCTCCCCACCACACTATTAGTTCAAAATTATCCTGGAAATGGAGTGCTGGTAATGGCCCCCATGTTTTAATGCTGATAACCAATGAAATGCTTATTCTGATCGTGCAGCACAGCCCTTTAGCATAAAACAAAGAAAGACTGCTCCAAGGTGAGAAGCTTACAGACCTCTTGCTCTTTCTTCAGTGCTTCCATGGCTTCTCGAAATTTCTTCTCCTTTGCCTCCATTTCTGCAATGGTGGCTTGGTTCTGCTCCTCATATGCCATGGCCACCACAGCCAAAATCAAGTTGATTAGATAAAAGGACCCCAAAAATATGACCAGCATGAAAAAAAGCATGTAGATCTTTCCAGCAGATCTCAGAGTCTATATAAATGAGGGAGACAAAAAATGGGGGGGGGGGGGAAAGAGAGATTCAGAAGAGTTATTAGAACCATGCATACTTCATCATAAACTTTTGTGAATCACAACATTTGTGGAGCTCACTGCATCTTCCAGAGATGACCAGCAACAGATATGATCAGGCAGGAAAAGATGCAGAACAGTTTCTGTGTTTATTTACATGCATTAATTACTACTAATATCAGCCATTAACCAACCTAAGTAATCTCCAGTCCTGTGGACTTCAGCTCCCAGAACTGCCCATCCAACATGGTCCTTGATGAAACTGGGAGTTGAAATCCACATATAGCAGGCACATTGAACAGCCTGGCTAAAAATTCTGGAAGGTGTAATCTTATTGTATCTGAAGAGGACCAGTTTGGGAAAGAGTGATACATGGAGAGGGTCCCCATGATTCTAATAAAATTCCACTTGAATTTTGTAATTGCAACTACTGAAGGTCTCCTTTACAGAAAATCATTTCTCCATAGCAAAAATCACATTAATAAGGTGATTGCTGGGGTAGAAATTTCCCATCCGATCATCACCCTCAATTCTAGATGGATTCCAATCAGACAGGACTGACTCACATAATTGGTTCTGCTTATAGGCAGTTTCACAGAGGTATACTCTACAGAGAGACCTTTCCCATAGACCTGTGACTCTGTGATGGGAGCCATATTGTAACCTGAATCCAAACATATTGTAACCCAATTCCAGCAACAGAATAAAGTCAACTGAGATCTCCTACACAACTTGGACCCTTCTCAGTTTACAATATCAACATGTGACAGCCGGTATGGTGTTGAAAAAGGACTGCACAGGTTTGAATCCAATTTCAGCCACTGATGTTTTCATGGATGTTTTAAACCAGTCTCTTTATGAGCTAGGCTAACTTATTTCATAGGATTATTGTGAGGAAAAACAGAAGGTGCCTTCATGGACATATATATGAACATTTTTTTAACATTACATTTATTATAGTCACTGACTCCCATAGACTCTGGACAGCTTACAGCATAGAAACTGCTTGCCAGTTTGGCAACAATACAGAAACTGTTCGCCAGTGCCTTCTATAGGATATTTTTTTTCAACTTTAGAGTTTAGCCTACTGCTTTGGGATTCCTAGCCATCGCTGAGCCTATTATCTTCTAAGCTGAGGCAAGATCAACCAAGTGTTGCCATCGGCTGAGACCCTATAGGAAGGCAGGATATAACAAATAAACATGATAATAAACAACAAGGCTACCTGTTGGTAGAGGCGCTCCCAGCAGTCTTGCGTCATGAGGCGGAATAAGGAGAGAAAAGCCCAGCCAAAAGTATCAAAGCTTGTGAAGCCATGGTCAGGATTTTCTCCAGCCTTTAAACACCTATAGCCTTTTGGACACGAGCTGCAGAAAGGAAAGCAGATCTGGGTCAGCAATGCTAAATATTATTGAATATTCAACTCCCCATCCCCCCTAAAAACCAGACAAGCCTATTTTAAAAAATCAGCTAATATATTCCATCTCTAGTCCATAATATACTATGCTTGATGTTAGTCAAAAGGCTGAGAACCTATATACAGGTCAGGAAGCAACAATACATGGCTTCCTGTATTCCAGAACATGGCAAAAGAGAGAGGGACAAGGCTGTATACTCTCCCCTTATTTATTCAACCTATATATTGAATATATATTAAGGGAAGCTGGATTGAAGGAAGATGTGCATGATTTTAAAACTGGAAGAAGAAACATCAATAATCGATGCTATGTTGATGACCCCACTTCCATAGATATATAAATTTGAATAAATAAATACCTGAAAATGCAAATGATTTGGAAGCACTAATAATAAAAGTTAAGGAGCACAGTGAAAAACTGGGACTAAAATTAAACATAAAAAAGACCAAACTAGTGACAAAAGGTACAACAACCAGCTTTAGAATTAAGATGAGGATATCAGAGTGGTAGATAGCTTCTGCCTTTTAGGATCAACCATCAACAGTAAAGGAACAAGCAGTCAAGAAATACACCACAGACTAGTACTTGATAGAGCAGCCATGAAGACCTTGGAAAAAATATTCAGATCCCATGATACAGAATCATGCAAGCCATGGTATTCCCTGTGACACTCTATGGAAGTGAAACTTGGAGTTTGAAGAAGGAGTATAGGAAAAGTATTGACACCTTTTGGTGTTGGAGAAAACCTCTGAGAATACCATATTTCTTGACAGCCAAGAAAACAAACCAATGGATCATCAAACAAATCAACCCAGAATTCTCACTTAAGGCACAAATGACCAGGCTCAAATTATCTCACTTCAGATACATTATGTGAAGACCTAGCTCTCTGGAAAAGTCTCTAATGCTGGGAAAGGTGGAAGGAAAAAGAAGAGCGTGGCCAGCAGCAAGGTGGATAGACTCAGTTACAGTGGTTATAGGTACACCATTGGAAGACCTGAAGGACCAGGTTAGGGACAAATTGTCATGAAAAAATGTACTAAAAGTCACTAAAAATTGACACCAACCTGACAGCACATAATCCATTATGGACTAATATGTAAACTGGAGCAGACACTTTGATTTTCTTTAGGTTGGACCCCAAAATATTCTGCAGAATGAGCCATCCTTTTTCTCCTTTTTTTAAACATTTAAAATAATTGCATCTAGGCTGAAAGTAATGCTGAGCCCAAATTTTCATTATAATGTCTCAAAAGCTTTCTTCCCCTATAAAAGAGGCTTCCATTTTTTTTATCTTATTCTCAGGGTATTTGAGATTTTCTTTCAAATTTCCCTTGGTGGAATTTTTGCGCTACATTCTTTAAGGTAGGGGGCTACTGCTGGTGTGTTACATATTTTTCAATTATTCTTAAGCCTTCCTGGTTGCTCCCATTTCCCAGTCAGAAAAAACTTAACAGACTGAATTCTACTCAATATTTTCCTTTGGGATTGAAATGGAAGCCTGGGATACTGCATATCGCTGGAGAAAAGACTGCATGGGCATCCATAAGGAAGAAAAGAGGGGTTAGTAATGTCACATGTCTTGTGACATCATTGCGCATTTATGTAAATTAGGTTTTTTGTGCAATGGCATTGTGGCATGTGCAACATCATTGTGGCTTCTACTGGATGCCTCAAAGACAAGAGATGATGCTTTGTGTACCATGTAGCTAAATAAAGTCTCCTTTCTTTTACAGTAACAGTTAAAATGTTTTTCTGCATTGCAACAGGTAATTGGGCCCAAATCTCCCTTGTAATGTCTCAAAACATTCTGTTCCTGAGAATATCACTCCAATTCTCTTCCCCATTGAAAGAAAAGCTGAAAGCAAAATTTCATTCATAGAACTGATAGGAGAAAAAATGCAGGAGAATTTTCTGCACAGCATAAATTTGAAGCCTGCAAATGTCAGTGATAGGTAACCTAGAATAGCCCTCTCCTGCAGCTGCAGGTTCTAACAAAAGATCTCTGAATAATGGGCTCTGGGGCTTTGCTTTTGAGGAAGTCACAGCAGAGGCCTCCAGATTGTCCAGACAATGCTGAATAACTCCTGATCTTATCAGCTTTGGAAAGAATCCTTATGTTGGGAAGAATCTCTATTATAAAAATGAATGTACTGCCTAGAATATTTTTGTTTCAAACAATACCTATTTTGACAACCAATGTACCATTTAAGCAATGGCAGAAAGATATATCTAAGTTTGTATGGCAAGGGAAAAAAGCCAAGGATTAAATATAAAGTCCTCTAAGATGCAAAGGAATGACGACAATTGGGATTGCCTGATTTAAAACTGTATTTTGTGGCCAGCTGTTTGGTTTGGATGAAAGAGTAGGTGCTGCTGAGAAATAAAAGAATTTTAAAATTAGAGGAGCACAATCTGAGGGTTGGATGGCACGGTTTTCCATTAACCTTCCTGCATTAAGGTTAATGTAGATTTTAAAAATCACTATGTCAGAAGTGCCATATTGAAAATATGAAATAGATATAAACCCAGACTGTGCCCGAAAATGCCTTTATGGGTCTCAGCACAAGAAGCATTTTATAGGAAAGAAACAGCAGATAAAAAGAAATGGTTAATCTACTGAGAGTTGTTAGAACAAGAACATGGAGAATATAAGATGAAATCAAGAGAACAATTGGCTGTAGAAGGATTTAGTTTTAAATGGTTTTCATATGCACAGCTACAAGAAAGATTCAAAGTAGATAACAGGGCATTTGGAATTGACAAAGACAGAATTTGAAGTTGAATTATGTATAAATGATAACCATGTAATTGCCAAAATGTATAAACTCTTGCTGAAATTTGAAAAGGAGAATGAACAAGTGAAAGAATGTATGATAAAATGGGCTTAGAATTTTGAACATAACATATTGTTGGAACAGTGGAAAAACATGTGGTTGAAAGGATTGAAATTCACATCATGTTATAACTTAAAAGAAAATTTCTGTTGGTATATGACTCCAGAAAAATTTGAAGTACCCTTATAAATTTTGGCTAATTTATGTTGGAAAGGTGGGCAACATGAAGGGTCATTTTATCATGTCTGGTGGACTTGTAAAAAAGCCAGAAAATTTTGGGTTCAAATACATACACTGATACAAAGAATTTTAAAGACTAA